TTTTTTTTTTTTTTTTTTTTTTGTCAAGTACTATCCAACATCTCATTTATCCAATTCGAGTTCCCAAACCAAAGCAAACGACAGGATACGCAGTGTCGGTTTCTCAGACCACCCTCTAAGTTGGCCACGTGTCCGTACGCTTGCCGCTGGTGTCACTCTCTCCCCCACATCTAAAACCACCGTCACCATTCTTCTACTATTGGCCTTGGAAATAGCACGTGACCCAAAACCACACCCCCTCCCCGCCTCTCTCTCTCTCTAACTTCAGATCATCGCTAGCCTACCACTCTCTCTCTCACACACTATGTTTATCCTCTCTGGTTTGCCATCCACCACATTCTTCAGGCCTAGGGTTTCGTCTTCGTCTCTCTCCTCCTCTTCTTCTTCTTCTTCTTCTTCTTCTTCATTATCATCCTCTTCTAGGCTGTGTTTGGTCTCTGTGAGATCGAGTGCGCGAAAGAGCTCTGCTTGTCCTTGCCTGTTTTACTCCTTGAAGGTGAGTGCTATGGCGGAGCTGGTGAAGGACACGGAATCGTCTTTATCGCCCATTCAGAATGCGCAGAGGAGGGAGACTAACCATTCTCGTACGTTTCTCAATACCACCACTGAAGAAGGTGAGAGTTCTTTGTCATTTCCGCTGTTTGGCTCCTGAGAAAATGCAAGAATGTTAGACTAATATTTTTGAATTGAAATGTTCCCCTTCTTGATAATTGAAATTGGATGTCAAATTTATTTTTACGACCTACTTAAATTTCTGTATAAGACTTGAGTGGTGGTTGTCTTTCCTTCCATTTTCTTTTTGTTCAAAGCTTAATATTCATGAACCTTTTTTGCATGATACTTTATGCATAGTAGATTCTTTCCTTCTTTGAGAGCCAAACTGTACTCTACTTCTGTGAAGTGTTAAAAAAGCAAATGAAGGTTGGTTTATTTCTTGATCATGTAGCATTTCTTTCTGTTTCCCAGGAGAAGAGCATGAACTTTTTGATATGTATGTTCTTTCCACTACTTTCTTTTTTGCTGAGTAGGAGAATATAGAAGTGTTTGCAATGTTACTTTTTCTTTTATTTTTAAACTATACTGAATGAGCTGAGTATTTCACTCGGAAATAATTTTGTTCTCCCTACTTGGAAGTGATGAAAATTTCTTTCAATTTCCTTTAACTTTAATTTGATGACCAAGTGCAGTGGTTGGAGTTCTGTAAATGTGGAGTAATATGTATTTCTTATACCACATTACAAATCATAAAAAGATAGGGCTCCCTTATTTTTCCAAGTAACATTGGTAGTCTTCCATAGAAACTTTATTTAGTTCTTGAAGTTCCAATTAAGTGCTTTACGCACTCATTGTTCTGTTGGTGCTTTGGTAATAGCTGACCATATATGTGTTTGGTGCCTGATTTCTGCATGAATTAAATCTACATAGGAGAGTGAGAGAGTTTTCTTAAGTAGGTTTTGGGAGAGGATGCATCTCTAATGTTTGTTATAAATTTGGAAATGTTGACAAAAAAGTTCGGGTTGCAGTAGCCATATTTATGTTGAGTGATACATGTATGAGGACCCAACGTTTCTTGTTGGGCATGTATATTTGCCAAGTGATGTACATTGTTTGATTGTTAATCCTTAATAGTTCATATATTTCACTTTTTAAAACCCAGTATAGAATATGATATAAAAAGGCTTAGATACGTTATTTGTGTTTATGATGTCTTCAAATTGGATACCCATCTTATGTAACACTATCAGGCCTAGGTCTGTTATTGTTGCATTATGCACTAGGGCGTGAAACTGTAGACTGGTTTATGTATATATCTGTGGATGTAGATGTAGATGAAGATGTAGACTAAGTCTGAGAAAAGGACAATAAGGAGAATGATAGTGTCCTATAGAAGGTATTTTATGGGATCTAGTTGTTACTTTGGGGTTGTAAACGCTTTGTGCAAATATGTATATATAGAATCTTTTGATATTCTGTTTTTAGGAAAAATGATTTATTTACAGAGGAGTTATAAAAGTTATGACAAATTTCTGGAATCTAATTAAAACCCAAAAGTCTTTCATACTCTGAATACTCTATTTCCTTATACACAGTTATTAGAAAATATTGGTTTTTCACTAGACATGAGTTGTCACCTTCACATCCAAAATGTTAAAAATGGCTTATTCATGTCCATAGATTCCGAATTTCTAAAATTGGAATTGTATATTTCATAGCCTTATGCATTTATATTAGGTAACTTATTTACACGTCTACATGCCTACATATACATATGCATAAGTACCTACATTTATACAGATACGTCGTACTTTTTTCTTTGGAGGGGCCAAAATTTACAAAATCATGTCTGATGTTCTATGAAATTACAAATTATTTGACCTAAGATAATCAAACTTTCTACTCGAAATTATGATATCTTAATCTATTCAAACTTGATTTTGGTGCAACAATGAAAGCCAATAACATCAACATTATGTTTTTTAGGAATGCGTGTGCGGTTTGATTGAGCTTGTTATCCGGAAAGAACAAAAGGAATACCTGAAGAACTCATTTCACGTATAGCCATTTACTTTAATTTAAAGTTTGATGTTTAACTGCTACCCTATCTGAAGCAGTGGTCTTGAGCTGTGGAAGGGAATAGAAGAATATTTGAGGATAGGAAAGAAGGGTTGTTTCCAGTGTGGGACAAAGTTAGATTCCTAGCGTCCGTGTGGGCTTCATTATGGATGTCCCTTCTGGTTTAATTTACCGGGATTGGTCATCTATGCTGACTTAAGTAGTTTGGTTTATTTGGTTTCGGTTTTTCTGTATTCCTCTTGGATTTCTTGTCCAGCCTGTTTTGTAACATCTTTATTTAATAAATTGGTCATTTCCTATTAAAAAAAAATGTACACACTATGCACACACACACGCACGCACACACACACACACATATGTACGTAGATATAAATGCACACTACTTTCATCTTTGGAGTGCTCTTGATTGTAAGGTGAAACAATTATTAGAAGTCCCTAGAAGAGTTATTTGCTTTCCTATTCTTTCATTTATATACTTTCATATTTTCCAATTGCAGTCTGTAATTTTTTAACTAAGAAATTAACATTAATATACTAATAATGATGTTATATATATTTTTGGCTGACCTGACTTCCACCAGGATGCTTGTAGTTCAACAAAAGGTCCAGCTTTAAATATTCTACATATTTTTATCTTTGAATAATGGGAGAGGGGACCAAGAGCTAGGTGGTCATTAGAATGCAGAAAATCTCCTTTATTAAGCTGTTGACTAATTTGAAATGTTCATTTGTAGAGCTGCTGTCTGCAATAAGGAAGGAAACAGAAGCTGGAAGGCTTCCCTCAAATGTTTCTTTGGGAATGGAAGAATTATATCAGAATTATAAAAATGCTGTAAACTTTTATTCTTAAGCTTATGCTTTACTATACATAGTTAGATTTGCTTCAGAAACTTTCAATTTTGAATTTATTTGACATGCATACATAAACATTTTGGCTCACTTTCTTCTGAATGAAATTTGTGTAAAAGATACGTGCATGTGTAAATTTATTTATTTATAACGATTTTAACATTTAAAATTGCCAAAATAAGAAGATTTAGTATTTTCTTCTCAGCAAAAGAAAAGATTTTAGTGTTTACTATTTGATTTGAGCTGCACCCATATTATTTAGAGATGACAAAATAAGAATGACATATCATATAACCCACACAATTTAGAACTTGCTTGTGAAAAAGAGAGTGTCATCCAACTTACTTGCTAAAATATTTCTACTTAGAGATATTATATGTTTGCTTGTGAGTAGGATTTTTAATACTTAATTGAAGCAATGGGGACCCAATCTCGACTTACTACTACTTAAAGTGACCATGGGACTTAAAATTGAATGAGAAGATAACATAGATTCAAATCACAAGCTAACATGCCATTTGTGTCTTAGTTATTTAAGGCCAATAAGAGAATGTGACTTATTTTCTATCGGAAATCTAAACCATTCAGTCGGAGCATCATGCTTACATGATCAAATAAGCTACTATGTGACCACTGTGCCACTGACCAAAATTTTACTCATGGTTATTTGATTTCAAGCTTGTATATGAACCCTTGTAAACTTTCTAAACTATGAAAAGTTATCTTTCCCATGCTTCACTGGTTAACTCATCATAGGGTATTTATATCACCTTCTTTAATGAAATGAACTTCATATATAATTTTTATGTACAAATATATAATCTCTATGTGGAGGGCACTTCAATAACGTGTTGTGTATCATTACTCTTGAATAATTGTCATTACATATTATTGATTAGTCATTGACAGAGTATTGACATGTTATCGAATGTATTATTGTATGATATATTTTGAGGGATCCCTCAAATAACCTCAGATGCGTTAGATGCCCAGCAGTCATTTAATCTAACAGCTAAGAAACTCATTTTCTGTTTTGTAATTCTATGGTATCATGATTCAGATTCTCCAAAGTGGAAATCCCAAGGCAGATGAGATTGTGTTGTCCAATATGACTGCTGTATTAGATCGTGTATTCTTGGATATAGAGGTAATATTTGGTTTTTTATGCGTTATTGCACAGCTGCCATAGTTTCTGGTGTATCTATGGGTTATATCAGAAACCGCATTATCATTTTGTTTTCTTGTATATGATATACAGTAATTTTTCAGGACCCATTTGTCTTCTCCCCATATCACAAAGCAATGCGAGAGCCTTTTGACTACTACATGTTTGGTCAAAACTATATTCGTCCTTTAGTTGATTTCAGGTGACTTGACAAGTTCCATTCTTTTACCATCTTCATCAGTTACTTTTGGTACATAGTTAGTGAGAATTAATGGATTTATCCATGTAGTCTGCTTTTTCTGAAAGTGAATGTACTGTTTATGCATTGGTTCATGAAGTCCATGGAGCCTTAAAACTGACAGGGTGATGGGTGATTTTTTATCCAACGTGCTTCAGATCATTCATCATGACACTGAAATTAATTAATTTAATTTGTATGGGAATTTCTTTTATATACTAATTATATTGAAAATTGTAAATATTATTTCTATGGTTTTCTATGATTCATTAATTGCTCTTATACAACAAGTTAAAGACTAATGTGACTGATGTCTCTTAAAAAAAAATTGTTGTATTGAAGTGGCCGGAATTGTGAATGGTTCATCATTCCTCCACTCCAAGTCGCAGTTGGATGGTTCAAACATAACTCTGAATTAGTGACGCAGAAAGGGGCTACTTTGTAAGCTTTTAAAATCAGTTAGTGAAAAAAGAAAGTTCTTGTGAATTCCTGCTTGTGTGTGAGGCATAGGTTGACTTGGAGTGATTCCAAGGCACCTTCTGTGTGATGCCAGAATTTTCTAATTTGTTTACTGGACACCTTTTGTGCGATGCCAAAGGCCTGAGTGAGTCCTGATCTCTTTATTTTTCCTATCTGTTTCTGCTATCCTACATCAATTGGTTTGAACTTTGAAGGGTTATTCGGATCTGATGTAAGACTTTTAATTGGTTTCTGGGTTACAAAACATTGTGGTAGCTGATTGGTTAAGGTTTGACATATTTGAAATAATGTGATGAAGTAAAATACTGTTGTGTTTGGAATAATATAAATTCTATATTGTAATCAGGACTTGTGGTAGAATAACTTGTCCAAAGAGATAGGACTTGCAGTACGCTAAGGTGTACGATTAGAGCATTGAATCAACTGATTGCTCACAATCCCATCAGAGGAATAAGAACCTGTAAACATTTGTACGGACTGAGGATTAATACTTTTACCATCTTCATCAGTCATTTGTATGGTCTGAGGGTTAATACTTGTCATAATGTTCAGTGGAAAAGGCTTAGTGTATGTCTTTTTCCTCCTTAGCGTACCATTTGTAGAAGTGGAGCAGAGGATATTGATTAGTTATTCCTATATTGGACCATTGCACAAAGATTGTGGTATACGCTCTTTGAAGAGGTGAGACTGAGCTGAGTTGTCCTGGCTTCTTCTGTACTTGTTGAGAAGCAAGAAAAAAATTTTGTGGAGAGGTTGTGCAATAGCTGTCTTTTGGGTTTTTCTCAAAACTAGCCCTTATAGAGCCTATTTGGAGTGAAAAACCCAAAACTAGCCCCTTGTTATTTTCTATTTAGTTCATATAAAATTTTAACACACTAAGAACCAATTAGAAAATGACAAGTGGCTAGTTTTGGGTTTTTCTCTCCAAATAGGCTCCGTATGCAATTTTGTATAATATGTCATGCTAAAATGGGTTTTTGAATAAATATCTCATTTTATAAACCTTCCATCTTGTTATTTTTGGCTAAATTTTTCACTGTATTTTTTGGTAAATCTGAAATCTACACTACATCTTTTTACTGTTTCACATATTCTTGTGGAATAGAAAAATTCAATAGTAAGGGTGTTCGATTACCAGGAAGAGTTTTTGCAAAAACTGGTTAACAGAGAATACTCAGATGAGAAAACAGAAAAATAGATTACCACTCACATTTTCTATCTTCTTTGCTGTTTCTTGCTTTCATATAAGTTATATTTCACTTATTCAATCTGAGTTATTTATCACTCGAAACTATATTCATCATCTAACAGTTCTATTCATATGGAGGTAATTTCGTCTTTTTTTATGTCAATATAATATTATTTCCCTTGTGTGTTTTATCATATTGGTGTCCTAAGCTCTGATGATTATATGTGCAGAAACTCGTATGTTGGCAATATTTCTGTTTTCAAAGATATTGAAGAGAAGCTTCAACAGGTACATTATCTGAGTATTGAGCTTTATTTCTTTTTTGGGTTGTGCGGTAGCTACTAAATATTGTTGAATTGTGAAATGCTGTTACTTTCTAGCACCAAAATTACACTGAATTTTGTTCTTGTTTTGTTGTTTAAAAGTTATATAGTGGCCTTACATACGCATGAGATGTAAATGCAAGTTTGGCAGTTCAAGTTTTGTACATATGTATGTTGAAGTCTTTTGAAACAGTGTAAAAACAATTGTTTTGAAAACAAAGTCATAGAGAGGGCATACCAAGTGTAGTCAGTCAGTTCCTTTCTTTGGCTATGAAAATAATAACTATTCTTGGTGATTTTGGCACTAGATTCAGGCAATAGCACAGAAGCAAACTGATCTGTGTAGAATGGGATACAAGATTTGGGCTATAACTTCGTTTGGGTGCTAATATCTTAATTATGGTTCACCAATAGTTGTCTTGTGCTTTTTGGTGGTGTGATCCTGATGGTACTGTGGTATGCAGTATGCAGATACCCTATTATCTTCATTAGTTTTGTTGTTGTGTCACTGATGATCAATGCCTGGTCTGGTCATTTGGTCAGCAAGGGGATAAAATTTGAAAAATATTAATTAGTGTTTCATGAAGACACTCAGAGGTGACTCATGTGATGTAAGGCTTTTGGATTATGCGTGCAGGGTCACAACATTTTTTTGATATCAAACCACCAAACTGAAGCAGATCCAGCTGTCATTGCCTTATTGCTTGAAACAACAAACTCATATCTTTCTGAGAACATGGTGAATCGCTATGTCTTCATTCTAAGCGTACAATGGACACATGCTATTTTGTGCATTTTTAACTGTTTGCATAACCAAATTTTAGACTTTGTACTGCAGACCTACATAGCAGGAGATAGAGTTGTGACAGATCCTCTTTGTAAGCCCTTCAGCATGGGAAGGTAGAGTTCTTAGATAATGTTAAGCAATTAGTATGCAATGCTTTTGTTAGTTAAGTGATGAAATTCTCATTTTTCGCTCTCTTACAGGAATCTGATATGTGTGTACTCAAAGAAGCACATGAATGATGTTCCTGAGCTTACTGAAATGAAAAGAAAAGCAAATACGCGGAGTTTGAAGGAAATGGCTTTGCTGTTGAGGTACCTCAGTTGTTTTGTTTGCCTATGCATGGTCAAAGTTGGCTTGATTATTATTAGTTGCTCCTCTTATTTTTGCTCATCATGGTCCATGGTGCTACTACAATGTCAAGTTCTTTGTAGAAAGTGTTTTCCTTATTTGTTGTTGTTTCTTTCTTTTGTTTCCCCGGACAATGAACCCTGATCTCTTATTCCTTTATATCTTCGTTTCCTTTGCTCTTACATTGTTCTTTTCTTGTCTCTGTGAACCTTAGAGGGCATTATACATGTCCAGAACAAACTGAATTTTTTAAAGTACATCTCGTTGTTGTGAAAAGTAGCTAGTAACGAACTGGTGAGGAGCTATGCTGATTTTACTTGTTAGCATACTACAATGCATAGCAACTGAAGGTGGTGCTGCCCTCTTTTATCCATGCATCCTTCTGGTGCTTAATGGACACGTAACTCTGATTTTCTATATTAGCATGTCAAAATAGAGGAATTGTATCAGAAGTGAGAATGAAGATACTTTTCTTTCTTGGGGCGAGACGCAGAGAGTGAAGGATCATCAATGTGACTAATGCTGAATGGTATTGTCACCTTTAGGTGGATCTGGTGGTAGGTTTGCCAAATAAGGGGCATGATTGCTTTAATTTAAATCACTACAGGAGGTGATTGCTAAGTTCAATGACTGATAAGGGAATAATTTACACTAAATCACAGCATTTAGTGGCCAGTGCCTGTGTTGGTAAGGCTTTGGAAGTATGGTACAACTGCTGTGCAACTGAGACAAAATACCAGTCTGGTCTTTACGTGTAGCTTTGGATTGGCAGCTTTAAAGTTGTCAGTGATAAATATGTAGAATACAAGGTAATATGTTAAAATGCAGATAAATTTCCCTGATATCTGAAGGTGTGGGTTAAGAGATTGTTCAGCAGTTGGCTCTTATTTGCATATTTGTGGCAGTGAAAGAAAATGGCCAGAAACAGAAAGAGTTGGGTTGTAAAAGTTTTCATGGTTAATGGCATAATGTACTTTACACTGGAAACTGTTCTTGTATTATGGTTTTTTGCGACACATCATGCATTTCCTTTTCTATAAGAAAACTTAAGACTCTTTGAAGTAATCAAATCTATATGTGTTTTCATATGCTTTCTAATGCAGACATGTAATCGAACATGTTTAAGTGCAGGAGTGGGTCGCAAATTGTATGGATTGCACCTAGTGGTGGAAGGGACCGGCCAGATCCTGTAACAGGAGAATGGTACCCAGTAAGCTCTTTCAACCTTATCATGCATGAGAAGTTGGATAATAAATATTTACGGATTTCTATTATTGATATATGTTATTTTTTATTTTCTCTAGTGATCTTTTTGTTAAAAGTTTTTATCTCGATAAGAGATTCATTGTTCCTGTGATGATTTTTATCATGCAATTGTCTCTATAGTGTTGCTACATAAGGTCTTAAATTTGCATCCATGTGTTGTAATTGTAAATTATGGATTCAGCTCAAGCAAACCATGTACTGAGCATGGATAGAACAGGGACTCAACATCTCTAGAGGAAAGCATAAATAGATTGTGGATTATTTTGAACTACACTCCAGCATTTTTGTTGTTGAAATAATTTACTTAAGAAAATATTTACTAAATTTGACGTCAACTTAGTTGTGGAAGATAGGCAATAGGCTACAGTTGGTTAATGTTGGCATATACTATTCCTATGACTAAGAATTTACCAATGTAGAGAAGCATCCACTTATATTGCCAAGGATATGGAGTTGGTGGTGGTGCTATATTAAGTTTTGTACTTAGCTGCAATCATTTTTTTACTATGGTTTCTCAATGTGGATATCAAAAAATCTTGTTAGAACAATATTTGAGAAAACCAATGACTCTGTGATGTAGGATATGGGTGAATTGAGAATTTAGGTAGTTTAGCAGAAGTGAAAACAATGGAAAACAGAAAATAGAACGAACAAGGATAGGTCTGGAATCACTCCAGGGGTTTGGCTTCACACTAAGTAGTCTCCAATCTCTGGAAAATAAACTTTTCTTTATATCTCAACAACTCAACTCCATAATGAATTACATGAGAGGAGTGTTTATAGCAAACTAAAACCTAGAGACAATAAGATAAAAAATCCCTTGCTGAAACAGAAATTCTAACCTAAATAAAATAGGGAACTTAGAAATCCTTCTAAAATCTGGAAAACTTAAAAATCTTACTAAAATCTGGAAAACTTAGAGAACAAGTTAGAAACTAATCACAGGAATAAAAAATTGCCAGATTTAAAGACCAAATTAAATGACTTCCTCTTCCATCTCTTTCTTTTGTAAACCCTAATGGGTTTGACAAAGATGTCACTATGTATGAATTTCTTCATAATTGTTGGAACTTATGACGAGATAATTAAAATTACCAATGGCCTTTTAGTGTAATCTGTACCCAGCAAAATAGTTAGCCATGGAAGCCTTACAAATATAATTTTTTTCATATATATTTTTCTTTAGAACACATTTTTACATACTAAAGAAACTTATTGACTGGTCAGGCACCTTTTGATGCTTCTTCACTGGACAATCTAAGAAGGCTTGCTGAACATTCTGCTGCTCCAGGGCATATATATCCCTTAGCATTGTTGTGCCACAACATCATGCCTCCACCGCTCCAGGTTTGTTGTCTCTGTTTTGGTCTTTCCTGTGCTACTTTTCCTGTTTTGTAATACAATTCTTTTCCAGGTGGAAAAAGAAATTGGAGAGAAGAGAATGATCTCCTTCCATGGTACTGGATTGTCGGTTGCACCAGAAATCACCTTTTCTGATATTTCTGCTTCCTGTCAAAATCCTGAAGAGGTGTGTGCTGTATACACGTCTTCCACTTGCCTGTCATATGCTTCTTGATCTTTACATTATTTTGCAATGAAAGATCTTATGTAATTTTGCCTTTCTCATATGCATTTAAATCATGTCATCATACCATTTTACAGAACCGCTGAACAGTGTGGAAAACTTTTCTCCGCCTGTTTATTGGTGATGAACATTAGCAGTTAAGTAATAGTCATTTCCTTAGCAAGTCAACAATTATGTAATGACTGGTGCACAACCGGAATAGATTGGTCAACAATTTGTAATTGTTACATCTCACCTTTATCCCTCGACTTTTGACCATTCTTACTCTGGTTCCTGAACTTCAAAATGTCCCAATTTTAGTCATCAAGCTATATTTATGCTACTAAAGGAAAAAAGCTGCATGCGGTTGAAAACATAACAGAAAAAGGTCATGTTGTTGATCACTAAAGCCCTAAAGCCCTAAAGCCCTAAAGCCTGAGAAATCCTGAGAAATTCGGCCTATGTTTTTTCAGATTTACAGGTCTTTTCAGTTTTAACTTCTGTTCGTTTCTTTTTTTCAACTTGAGTGATCAAAATTACCTTGAATTAGTGGTGATGTGTGTGACATTAACTTTTTGAAGGGGATTAACTGACACTTTCTGTGAGGGCCAAACTGGGACTTTGCTGAAGTTCAGGGACCAAAGTGCCACGTGTGTCAAAGTTCACGGCGCAAAATTGAAATTAGCTCTAATTGTTGTATAAACTTCTCTATTGTTTCTAATTTTTCTGGCTCCTCTCTTGCAGGCTAGGGAGACATACACACAAGCTCTGTATAAAATTGTTACTGAACAGTACAATGTGCTCAAATCTGCCATACATTGCAAACAAGGGCTAAAGGCATCTACGCCAAATGTTTCTTTGTCACAACCATGGAATTAGTCTATCTTTAAACATATTTGCCTTCTTACTTAGCTTTAATAATCAGGTACTTTCGCAGATCCTAAATTTTACATTTAAAGTAGGATAATGATCTATTGCCTTCGTTTTCTTATATCAGTGAAACAAATTTTTAACTCCGAAGAAATAGACAAATCTTGGATAAGGAATCCATTCATGTATATTAATTAGAGCTTATAAAACCTGTCATGAACTGCTAAACAAATAAGTGTGCACTTGACTGCAGTGAAATGTATCTAGTTTTTAACTTTTCTATAAACGGGAAAAAGTTGGCTGGCAGCATGTTTTACAGCGTTAAGAGTACCGTGCTCATGAAATCCCTAATAGAGAATCTGGAAAATCAATGAAATGTAGAAACAAAGATTTTCTTTGCTGATTTTTGCTCATTATACGTTAATACTTGTGCTCATTAGGAGGCGATTGAATTTATTCCAATCCACATTGGTGATTATCTTGTTCGTTTATTAACTAGATTTGTTTGAATCTTGCAGATTAGGACTTTACCTTAATTTTGCAAGTCCTGACCACAAAAGGCCACTGGCCCTTCCAACACAAGTATGCACTATGCCAAGAAGATTTAATTGAAGCTTATGACAAACATAAGTTCAACGTCGATTAGATGGAGATTCTTTTTGTTCATATGGTTTAGGCAAGAGCTGGATTCTTTGGAAATTGAAGCTGTCTCGCAAGGGTTCGGTTTTTAGGTGTATACTGTAGATATGGGGCCAGTTGTTGATGAGCAATGTAAATTGAACTTTAGATGTTATTTTTAAATCAATAGCTCTTTCTCTAGCACCTGAGAAGTCTTAAAGTTTCAAGAGAACCCTATACAGCTGAGAAAATATTTGTGACTGCCTGCCACAGAGGCAATTGCTATCTCATGTTCAAATTTATGCTGTTTGTACTTGTTTCATCAAATATTCAATGGCTTCTTTTTCTTTACTCAACTTTTTATAAGATGTTATCAGCACAGGTATCTCTTTTCTTTTCAATTCTTTTATTAAGAGTTACATGCTACAATGATAATGCACAACTCGAATGGTATAATATTACGTGAATTGTTGCTCTTTATTATCCTTTTATTGGAAGTTCTGATTCACTTACGTCGGCTTCGAATTATCATATTCAAATCCCTCTGTGTGAACCTTCTTCAGCTCCCTCAACATGTGCCAATCGAAAATGAAAACAACACTTGGTTCTTGGCCTCCTCCATGTCCAACACTATTTTCTTCATTCTCTAATCCTTCCGTTTGGATGAAGGAATTGAAGATTGCATAGAATTCTAAAATGATGAAATTTAGATTTCTATGATTTCAATTTCTGGCAATTGAAGATTTCAGTGTTTGGATTTATGTATGTCGAATTTTGTAAATGACACTATGATTGTGAGATGACACCTATTTTGGTCGAAATTAAACTCAGGAATTTAATGTCCCAATTTCCATGATTTTTTCCATGCTTCATTTAATAAATTCCAAGTTTAATAAATTCTAATTACGTTGACGTAGGTGGGGAGGAGGGAGGTGGCTACTAAATGAGATGTCACTTTTTTAATTTCAAATTTCCTTTTTCTGAAACTCCTTATGTTTTTTTTAGTTTTAACTATTTATTAGTAAATTACTGTGAAACTCCTTAGGCCCTTTTGATAACCATTTTAATTTTAGTTTTTAGTTTTCATTTTTTATTTTGTGTGCTAGAATATACAGGAAAAAGAGGGAGAATAGAAGTGAGACTGAGAGTGAAGATGGGATTGAGAGGGAAGATGAGAGGGGATGATGGGAGGGAGGAGTAATAAAAGTGAAAACAAAAAGCGAAAACTGAAATCTATTTGAAACTGTTTTCACTTTCAAGTTTTTGTTTTCACTTTTGTTACTCCTCCCTCTCATCCTCCCTTCTCATCCTCTCTCTCTCAATCTCATCTTCACTCCAATTATTAATCTCATTTTCCTCTATACTCTAAGCATAAAAAATGAAAGGGTTAATTACTGTAGACGTTCGTCAACTATGGCCCCATTTGCAATTGGGTCCGTGAACTAAATTTCGTGGCAATTTAGTCCTTTAATTAGACAATAAGTTGCAATTAGGTCTGCCGTCCAACTCTGTCACTTTGTCCGTCAAAATGAGGGGTAAAAACGTCCTTTCGAGTCAGAAGAAAAAAACTGAAAAAAAAATAGAAAAAAAAGTCCCTCTCTCTTTCGCTCTGTCTCTCCCTCTCTCTCACAACCCATTTCCCCCCTCCTTATCCCACCCCCCTCAAAACCCAGATCCCAACCCAACGTGCAACAGCAGCCTCAACCCCACTCCCTGTCTCTCCCGAACACAAAGCCTTTCTAAGAAAAGCAACATTCTCCAGATGAGAAGATCCTTGCAAACCATAGTGAAGCACTCCATCTCTTAAATCATAACTCAATGACAAATGACTCAGCTGTGGGAAACAGACAGCAATCGTTTCTAAATCCACAACCTCATCCTCATCATAAAAAATCACAACCCATAGCCAAAGCCTCCTCAATTTTGACGATCTCGAGATCATCTGGTAAAATGTTGGCCATATAATTGTAAAATTGCTAATATCTACAATCTCAAGGTTTTCAACAGTATCACCGATATCAAGATGAAAGACACTAACATCATCAATCTTGAAATGCTTCAAGGTCCCCTTTCCAATGAGTTCAAAGACCTCAAGAGCACAAGCTTTCATGTGCAAACGCTGAATGCTATCAGCCTCCAATATAAACTTTTCCAAACTGATTCTTTCTGCATAAATGCTCTTTAATGTTGGACTGCTCAGCACAACAGTCACTTGTGCATCTGACATTGCTATCTCTGGGCTGACAAGTTCTAAGGTTTCAATCTTTGGGCATGCATTTAGCAAAAGGCTCAGATCCAATGCGGAAATACTAATGTAACTCAAAGAAAGAGATTTCAAACAAGGAAATCTCTGAAATTTGGGTTCGAATCCTATGATAGAATTATGGCCCAAGACCAACATTTCCAACTTTTGTCACAGACCCAATTGTAACTGGGGCCATAGTTCAAGGATGTCTACAGTAATTAACCCTAAATCTAAACGACGAAAAGTCGAAGATACCCCGAACAACAAGAGCATGTGACACTCACATGGTCAATTTCGATGGATTCAGTTACGGCATGACCCAATTGCAACGTATTGTCTATTAAAGGACTAAATTGCCACGAAATTTAGTTCACAGACCCAATTGCAAATGGGGCCATAGTTGACGGACGTCTACAGTAATTAACCCAAAATGAAAACTAAAAACTAAAAACCACAATTTTCAACAGAATTTTGGACGGAGTTAGTGTTAGGTGAAATTGGTGTATAATTCCATAACATATTTCAAAAAAGTTCTCATACAGAAAATAAGACATGTGAGATGACTTTTTTGGGGTGAGTAACTCCTCTTGACTAATATAAGCTCGTGCTTATCTCTCATTAATTTTAAAGTCCCTTAATAAATTGCATGATGTACAACCATAGTAAATTTCAAGGGCTTGTTTGATAGGAAGGACTAGATTAGACTGGACTATACTAGCAAAATGCCTATATTTCATATGCATTCAAAGCATAATATGGATATTGTTGGAGGATGAATGAGAACTACCTATAAGAGGTTGATGACTAAAACTTATTCCTCATAATCCCCCTATGAGGAATAAGTTTTAGTCAGCAACCTCTTATGAATAGTCCTCCTCCATCCTCCAAGTTAGACAACAATGTCCATTTTAGGGGTAAATACCGAATACCCCTTGAACTATTTCGATTGTCGAACTTAGCGCCCTGACTTATTTTTTTAGCCAATTTAGCCTTTGTTTTAAATTTATTTGTCAATTTCGCCCTTGTCGTTAGCTTTTACACAATTCCATCCAAATGTTCGGAAAAAACAACACGTGAATGGAACGTGCGTCACTGTTGAGGGTAATCTTGTCCTTCTAATACTCATACCCCTTTTAGCCCTCCCTATTCCCAATTCCCAAATTAGAGTTAGTGTTCAGACTAAAAGATTCGAAAAAGGGAGGAAGGGAGGGAGAGAGAGAGAGAGATTTGGGGGAAATTAATAGACTTCAAGATTCGAAACAAAAGGTGCGACAAAGCTGATTTGGTAAAGGCAATAGATTTAATATGAAAATCAAATATGGTGGGGAAACTCCCACATACAACAAGTAGCTTACTTTATTTTATTCGTTTGAAGCATTTGTTTGGGTTTGATTCTTTGTTTATGTCGAGCTTCATTGGGTTTTATTGTTTTGGTTATGTCGAACTTCTTGAAAAAGCATAATAAAAGGAAGAAAGTGGTCCCAATCAAGGGCGGAACCACACTAAGGGCTAGGGTGGACTGTAGCCCAGTGTGGTTTTTAAAGAAATAAAAAATAAAAAATCTATATATAATATTTAACTTATTTTCAATATTAGCTCAGTCAGTGGCGCTGTACAGATTACCTTATTTCCATTTTCAACATTTAAGTAAATGTCTTTGTCATTTTACTTTTATTTATTTTTATATTACTCCATTTACTTAAGTTTACAATGTAAATAAGGAAGTACCCCCCATTTGGATTCAAATAAAAATACTAGAAAATCAAATTCCCACCGAATCGAAATATGAAAAATCGGTTTTAGTGCAAAATACGATTTAGGCTAAAAATGATGGCTCATTAAGTCAATATATACTTCATACTAAAATCCCATAAAATCAAGTTTTCATATTTGATGTGTGAGGAATAAAACCCGCCAAAAATTATCTTGAGAAAATGATTATTCCGAAAACCCAATTTTCATACTTAGTCAATATTTTTACATAAAACAACTTTTCATGTATGATATGAATGCATGAAGGAACCTAAGGTCAATCTAGGTAAAAAGCCTTAGATGTTCAATCCACTATGTTGTTAAACCCTATTTGGTTTATGTTAAAACTTATTGAAAATTAGTCTATGGAGCTATGAACTAGCTTGGTTTATATGATTTAATGTTTGCTTTTATTTCTAGAAAGACTATATAAATTGTAAGTACCAAAAATAATAATAATTAAATTTTAAGCTAATAACTTTAGCTAGCCCACCCATTAAAAAATTCCTGGTTCTGCCCTTGGTCCCAATGTATGCTGTCTATCTACTCAGACTTTAACAATGTCGGGTTGTGAATGTGGTCCCTATGCATATTTTTTGTTTATTGTTTGTCCAACAATATGTAAGTTGTTTATTGTGTTTGTATTGTATTGTATTGTATTGTATAGGGTAGATAATAAATTAATTGGTGTGCATCTAATCCTGACATGTTCACACTTGAAGTACACCATGGGGGGTTACTATGTTGATGGTTTATATATGGGAGGTATTGTACAATGGGTTGATTCGCAAGATGCAAATGAGGTGTCAATGCTTGAGTTATTTGAAGAGGGTAAACACCTTGGTTATTACGAACAGAGCATTCAATACAATTACAAGCACAAGACAATTGAGTGGGTTGAAATTAAGGCAGTTAATGATTATTTCGAAGCTGGTGAAGTTGTTGAAAGGGAGGCAACTGTTTGTGTTCTACATAACTAAATTCCAGCACATGGGCCGACTCCTACTTGTGAGGTTCAGCCCCACTATGCTCTATAAATGTTCAAAATGCTGAAGATTATAAAGATACTGCTCATGGATATGATGGTAATGAAGAAATTGCTCATGATGACTTCATGGATGTTGAGATAGAGGAAGAATTTGGTGATCCAGAGGAAGAATATGGTGAAGTTAAGGGAAGCTTTTGTAGCAGAGCAAGATAGAGAGGATGAGCAAGATGGGGAGGATGAGGAAAAAGATGGTGATTTCATAGATAGTGAGTTTGAGCAAAGTGATGAAGAGGACAACATGAATTTTATTTCATAGGTATATTATAACTGAAGAGCAAGGTGATGAGTATAAAGAACTAGGTGAGGTTGAGACTGATGATTATAATACATCAGACTTAGATAGTTTGCATAGAGATAATGAAGATGAAGATGGCAAGAAGAGAGTTCTTAGGCAACCAAAATTCAAGCAGTACAATAAACAACATGACCTGTTAGATCCAAAATTCCACTTGGGGATGAAGTTTCCTAATATGCAGGAATGTATAGAGGTCATTAAGTACTATCTATACAATCTTCTTCTCTGTAGCTCTTGCTCTTCCAATGAGTTGATTCGCCTCTTCAACCGATGTATGTATAGCACGCTCAGACATTTTGGGGTCCTTCGAATCCTTCCAACCACAACCACTACCATTCTTCTCTTTACAACACACATATAACCTCCTCCCTGGACTATCATCAGACCAGCAAACAATCGTTTCAACCTCAATTCCACATTGACAGATACGCACCATATCATCCTTAGTAATAAAAGTGCTCGAACTCGATTCGGTTGAAGTTGCAAGTATGTTCCTATTTATCCTCTCTTCGAGTGCAGTTTCTTGTCTTATTCATGAAATTGATGAACATAAGCAGAATGAAAAGGTTAGAATGCCTACAAATGAGGTTGGGTTATGTCATAAAGAGGTGGGTTTTGGCGTGAACTGAAAGAGGAAGATTAGGAAACATGAGGGAAAGGGATTTGAGGATTAGAAGAACGAGATTACCCTCAAAGTGGACGCACGTGCCATTCACGGGATGTTTTTTTTACTAACATTTGGATGGAATTGTGTAAAAACTAACGACATGGGCAAAATTAGTGAGTAAACTTAATATGAGGGCGAAATTGGCTGAAAAAATAATTCAGGGTATTAAGTTCGACAGTCGAAATAGCTCAGGAGGTATTCGGCAGTTTACCATATTATGCCTTGATTGCTAGTTTAGTCCTTCCTATCAAACAAGCCCCTAGGCTAGTCCAATTTAAGTCAAAATGAATGTTTTCCTACTCTAACTAGGAGTTTGTTACATGCAAGAAAGGTTAACATATCAAATTTTGGAAAGATCTTAAGTGAAAAAGTCAAAGTCAACTCAAAAAAGTCAAAGCAACACATCATCATATGATGTCATCATCTGTCATTTAACCATGTGTAGTCATCAAGTAAGTCCATGTAAGCTTCCTATGAATCCCTGAAAAGTCAAAACCTAATCATAGAAGGATAAGGAAAAGAAAAGAAAAATAGTCGTCCTTGAGGAAAAGGACTATGTCTAGGTAAACTTTTTAGTTCTTATGTTTTAATTTTAATTATGTTGTTTTCTTTGACTATGTCTAGCTAAACTTCTTAGTTAAGGCTAGGAGCATGCCCAAATTGTATTATTTGTGGATTTTAGATACTAAGTTATTAAATTCCAAGTTTCATTGATGAATTCTTAATTTTTGCTTTAGTTAGTACTAATTGATGAATTCTTTTGATTGTGCACCATTAGAGTTTTGCATCTAGTGTATTCGATGTGTTGTGTGCAATGGTACCAATAAGTTGCATGTTTCAATTCGCTTTTTGAGATTGAGGATTGTAAATGTATACAAGTCTAGACCGAGATATTGACGTTTGTATGAATTCTTCATTTTCATTGATTTTAATGAGTTTCTAGTGTTTAATTTATGCTTCACCATAAGTAAATTGCATCCATAAATATTTAATTTTATGCTAGTCCAAGGATAGAAATCATACTCTAGGAAAACTTGGCATAAGTGTTGGACCGAAGGCTTAAGGAATCTTCATCAATTAACTTGTGAATTTGTTAGCTTGCATCTAAGAACCTGGATAAGAGAATTAGTGGTTGATTATGATGCCTTCATGATCAATTTAAAATCCTAGCTTGTTTGATGGTTTGTTTTGTTTCAATCACGTCTTAATTTAATTGTTAGGTTAGATTTAAATTAGGTTGCACCCTCCATATTTACTTGCTTAATTGTCAAATGTTTGGTTTCTTGTTTGTTTGTTTAGTTGAGTCTTCAATTGAAAATCCATAAAAGAATCTTAAGTTGAACCAGGTTAAAGAAACTAAAATCAATAACTAATTTCCGCAAGAACAATACTCGTATTTGCATAACATTATACTATAAACGGATTCATGCACTTCTGAGTTTGAATTCGAATTAAATTAATCTATTATCACGAGTAGTTATTGTAATAAGTTGTATAATGTTTGCTACCTCACTATTTTAACTAAGTTTGTTCCATTGTCTATAGAAATACTTCAATATCCGGAGTGTTTTTTAGCCCCTTATTCCTATAGCACACATCACACTGCACAAATACATGTCATGTGTGCTAAGGACAAGGGTAACCAGCCAGAGATGGGAAGTCCCTCTCCATTTTCTGACATTGGTTATAGTTACAAGAGCTGCTTTGCTTGTTTTTCCATTTTTTTTTTTTTTTTATAAAAATTATGATGTGTCTTGTTCATTGCGAGAAGTTTCCAATAAAGGTGTCTTAATTTTCTTTCGGGGATTTTATCACGAATAGTCCTAACTTTCAAACTTTCAAATTATTCAATGTAATCCTTAATCTTATGGTCTCTCTCATCAGTGTGATCCTTAATCTATGGCACAAGCACCAGATCAAAGCACCAATACTGAACTTCTTCAAATTATACCGATTCTCCCGAGCAAAATATAAAATTAAAAATTATACAGATTCTCAGTTTTTCTTTCTTTACAAGACAAGAAAAATTCAACACAAGCGAAAAAACGACCAAACTGAACAATGAACAAGTCAAAGTTGAGGAGGCAAATCCTAGCACTTGTAATTAGAAGCTAAGCCGACTCGACTGACTAAGGATTCAAATATAATCAATGAACGAAATTTATCCAGGAAACTATGATCCAACATTAAATAGCGCACATAAAAAGTGAACGCCACATGTGGGCGCCAGAAAAAAATAAGCAATTCTTTCTCAACTGTAGTAATATATTTAATTTGACAAGCCAATGAGTGCAGAGCAAGCATCCGTGACTAACAAAATTGACCATCATATAAGAAAAGGCAATCTGACACTCTTATTCGATCAAAATACATAACACTCATATCAATCAATCTCCTCTGAGGGGGCGCCGGATGAATCTTACTCACTACTTCAATGTTGAAAATACAGGTTCCTGTACTGCCTTTTTGATAAAACTTGCTACATTTTACTCACATAAAATCATAATCATCGAGCGGATCATAGCCATCAACAGCTATATCATCATCCGGCTTATCAACATGTAGCTGCTTTTTCTTGGCACCTGTAAACAAGAAAATCAAGTAACAAACACCAATGAGAAGTTATATAAATCTGTAGTCTTGCATTGTCATAATAGGTAGATCTACATAACTATAGAAAATAACACTTGAAATCAGACGTATTCAACTCTGATTACACAAATCTTTAGCTGTTTTCATTCTTTGGTGACACCTACACCCAAAAGCCAAAATTCAACCTGCAAAGCCTGACAGCTGCTTTGACCAATACCCTTCACACAAGTTTATGCACTCTACACGAGTTAGGCATTTTCCAACTTGTTACTTTCTGAGT